CTTCGTGGCCCCATAGGGAGCTCCACCTGAAACCCCAGTGGCGCAGCCCGCATGGCGGCGCCGCCCCATTTTGGTACACCCCTCACGCGCTTCATGGCCCCGTAGGGAGCTCCATCTAAAACCCCATTGGCGCATCCCGCACGGCGGCGCCGCTCCATTTTGGCACACCCCTCACGCGCTTCGTGGCCCCATAGGGAGCTCCACCTGAAGTCCCAGTGGCGCAGCCCGCATGGCGGCGCCGCCCCATTTTGGCACACCCCTCACACGTTTCGTGGCCCCATATGGAGCCCCATCTAAGGCCCCAGTGGCGATGCCCGCATGGCGACGCCGCCCCATTTTGGCACACCCCTTGCACTTGTTGTGGCCCCATGGGGAGCTCCATCTAAGGCCCCAGCGGCGCTGCCCGCATGGCGGCGCCGCCCTATTTTGGCGCGCCCCTCACACGTTTCGTGGCCCCTCACACGTTTCGGAAGCCTTCTCTCCGTCTCGTGGACGCTCGCCCTGGGCCGTCGGCTGTCCAGCGCGCTGCCCCCTCGGCCGACGTCGCCCAGGCGTGATCCTGGACTGCGGTCGCCACGAGGTGGGGAACGGCAGGAAGGAGGACGACGACTGGCGGCTGGAGCTCTACGCACTGCTCTCGCGCGCCACGCGCCACGAGGACCTCCTGCTCACGCGGGCGCCGCTCATCGAGTTCTTCCCGGCAGGGCCGCCGGAGGGATTGCGGAAGCAGCTGGAGCAGTTTGCTACGCGCACGAAGCTGCGCAGGAGGGAGGCGACGACCTTCATCAAGGAGCTGGGCTTTACCGAGTTTATCCGCGAGGCTTGACTTGAAAAGCAACCCGCCCGAGCCTCGCCGTCTCTCGACGGTCTGACTGCTCGGCTTCGCGCCGCGGGCAACCCGCGCGCGTCGCTGGGGCCCCCTCGGGGCGACCAGCGAGCGTCGCGGGAATTCCGCGCTGCGCTCTGCCCAGAGCCTCGCTCGCCCCCGTCGTCTCTCTGCCCGGCGGCCACAGCCCAGCCCGCTATCAGCCAGCCAGCTCTCTCTGCTCCGCGCAGCGGACGACCCGCGCGCGTCGCTGGGACCCCTTCGGGGCGACCGGCGTGCGTCGCGGGGGCCCCGTGTGGCGCCGCGCCCGCAGCCTCGGACATGGGCGCGCACGGGCAAAGAGAGAGAGAGAGAGAGAGAAACAAAAAAACAGGAAGGAAGCGGGCGCGATCCTCGGGAGGAGCGCGCCAACATGGGCGTCGACGCTTATGCGCGTGGACTGATTCGCACGCAGACTCATTCACAATCAGACTCACTCGCGCTCAGTCTCTCGAGCGCAGACCTATCGTCTTCGCTCGCGTCGCGTGCCCCGCCACGCATCTCGGCGCGCCCCTCGCACGGTTCGTGGCCCCATAGGGAGCGCGGGCAAAGATGATATGCAGAATTGCGGTATTCACAACTGCGCATGGTTGGGTCCTTCCCCAGGATAATTTTCGGCTTCGCTGCGAGGTCTGAATGACAACCAGCTTGGGCTTTTGATGAAATGCGGACAAGGTTCCTAAGGAATATACATCGCTGATCTACCAAGTAAGAATACACGAGTGTGTCAGAAAGGCGGAATTGCATGGGATGTTGAATACGTTCTTCGGCATCATCGTAAATTCCTTGTCCCTTCCCGCCGCCTCCCCGACCTCGAAGACTTCTCGAATGCTCTTGTGGATTTTGAACACAAGGTACTATGGCACTACGCAATTGGAAAAGACGACCACGCGAGCAGCGCAATCACGACAATGAATGGAAATATAGTCGGGTTGAAGCCGTCCCGTCCTCGACATTGTCCGCGGAGGTTGATGTCATGGCCGACTCTTACGTCAAAGCAATTTTCAAAGCGGTCTGGAAGGCTTTGGTGGTATCTCGAATTCGACATGGCCCTCCTCCCCCTCTTCCACCTATTGTTGCAACTGGATTGCGCAAATTAAAACGTGGACTGTGTGTGTGGGGGCAATCCTCACAGACAAAGATGGAGGATTTAGCATCGTGGGAAAACATCGTTTGATGGATGAGTACATGTCGCTTCTACCGGACGACAACTTTTACCAACCAATTCAAAATTTTGACTCGTTCACTGTGGTTGAGGATTGCAAGGACTACCCAAGACATTGCTTCGTCATGTACGGAAGAGCCAGATTTCAATGTGCTTACGAGTTTGTGCGGTTGTTTTGACGAGGATGATTCCGATATTATCTACAAGCTCAGCTGCACAATGCAGACGCACAAACCAGCTGGGAAAGTAGTTATGCGACATCTTCGTTGCAATCAACCCAGATCGCCTCTTCGACCTTTTTTGCAAATTCGTATAAAGCGAAATGAATGTATGCCTGGGGCGTTTCGAGCATCTGGTCTTGAAGAAAGCGTCCATGCAACAACTATCTAGCAGGGCTACTGTAGTCAAGGTAGCCATTAAGGGCTACTTCATGTCTGGAGACCACAACTTTCTAGTTCGAGAGTGTGTTAACATTTTTTCCGACGCCTTGCGCTTCATCCCCAAGAATCAGTACGTCCATTTGCATGACCATCCTCTGACATTCCAGTTGCTTCGTGGATCTGGGATGGGGGTGTCGTGCTCAGGAGAGGTGAGTGATGCAGCATACTATAAGTTGGCCGAGCTTCAGTTCTCATCGGATGCTCAATACATGTGTTCAGTGGGACTGGTGGCAGATTGCAGATTTAACGACGGTGTGATCATGTTTTTCGACGGTGAGCTCCAAAATCATGTTCCATTCGTGGAATTACTCTGCCAACGGGCTGAACCATTCAAGCTTGAAGTTGAGAATGTTTCTCACGCGGGGGCCATTTTCTTAGACGTTGAAATCCGTTTACCATGTAACCCGTACCTTGCAAGAACCATCGGCAATCTTGTACACAATAAGGTCTCGTCTCAGTGGGTCCCGGTAGGACACGAATCAATGCATCACCCTTCGGTCCACAGGTCCTGGCCTACTGCAAAGATTGCCAGGTATTGCAGACTTTGCAAGAGATCGCAAGACGCAGAGTCCAACATATCGAAATTCAAGGCTGAGATGTTAGCATCTGGGCCAACAACATATTCATAGACACATTATTGGTTGCGAGTCTTTTTCGACCACCTAGATCTACACACAACGCTGGGGGATTCCGGGACGCCTTTTCAGTCCTCCCCTTTTTTCCCAAGTGGTATAAAAGCAAATTTGGGATAACCATCGCCGTCGTCGACCGAGATTGGGGTGTTGCGTCTCAGTTCCGTTTGCGTATTTCTTAGAGGCTGAGTGCTTCCCATCACGATTTTCGGCGACGCTTTAGAGCAGTCAACTGTGAGGTAGGCAAGATAGGGCTGGAAGGTGGATGTAATGTCTTAATGTTTTTAAGCCGTCAGAAATTTCAACAGTTGTTGCAACACGACATCTCTTCCGCAGCTGGTTGCTGGCCCGAGGACGCTAAGCCAACGAGCTCACAAGCCTGGGGTAGGCAAGTCCTGGGCAGCGGGCGACCCGCTCTGCACACACAGACACAAACACACACACACACACATTCACACACACACACGCTCACACGCACCCACGCACATCTACACATACGAACATAAACACATACGCAACACACACACACACACGCACGCACGCAGACACGCGCAAAAGCACACACGCACACACGCACACACGCACACACGCACACACGCACACACACACACGCACACACGCACGCATACACAGACACAGACACAGACACAGACACACAGACACAGACTCACACACACACACACCCACACGCACAGACCAATTCAGGATCAGTCAACACCGAATCGGGAAATCAGACGAACAGGAGTGTGCGTCGCATCGGGCTGCATCGGCACAGAGTCGGAGTCGGATTGGACAGGCTGCGCCAGGACTCGCGGCACCGCCATGCGGACACCGGGCGCCGCATCGCATCGACGGAGCACCGCAACCGACTCGGCTCGGGCCCGGCATGCTCGACGCCGCATCAGCTCGACCGGATCGAAAAGGGCCGATCCTCGGCCAGGGCAGCCGAGCCTCGCGCGCGGCGCCGCGCGCTGCGCCCTCGCGCGGTCGCCCGGCGGAGGCCAGGCCTCGGGCCCCGGGCCGCGGGCCGCGCTCGCCTTCGCGCCCCCTGCGGGCAGGCCTGGTGCCCGCCCTCCTGGCCAGACCTCACGTCTCGGCGCCCCAGCGGGCTGCGGCGCCCCCTCCCTCTCCCTTCCCCCTCCTCGGCCCCCTCCCCCTCCGACCCCCCCTCTCCCCCCTCCCCGGCCCCCTCCCCCTCCGACCCCCTCTCGCCCTCTCGCCCTCCCCACCTCCCTCTCCCCTCCCCCGCCCTCCCCGCCTCTGCCTCCGCCTCCCCTCCACAACCATAGCTGCCCGAGCTGGGGACTGCGCCCCTCTCTCAGAGCCTCTCTCCCCGGACGGTGCGCCCGTGTGCTGCCGCCTCTCCCGCGCATGCAGTCCCGCACAGCAGGATTCAACAGCCAGTGCATGCATGCATACATGTATGGTTACAGGCGTGCGTTTCGGTCTGAACGTCTTCGCCCCTTCGGAAATTGGGGCTGCCGCTGCAGCGCTGGGCACATCTCGGGATCGGTGTTTTGCTCCCGTCGTTTAGAATGGCGCTCTCGCCCGAGTGCCGGCCACACTTCTGAACCCGATTTCGTCTCTGACCTTTCTGCTCCTCCTCCACCTCCTCTCCCTCCATCCGCCTTCTCCTCCTCCTCCTCCTCCTCCTCCTCCTCCGGTATACAAAAGTATGTTATCCTGATTGCACATCAAAGTACGGGTCAAATCCTGCAACTGCCATTTGCGGATCAAGGTCCCCTAGGACACCCTAGTCGGCGGATAGAAATGGATTCAACGCAGTGGGCAGGGATGGGTGAGAGGGGTAAGATGTCAAATGTGGCGCGAGCGCACCTCGCTGGCCCTCTCCCCTGCCCCTTCTCTCCCCGCCCCACTCTTTGGCCGCGCCGCTGGGCCTGAGGTAAGAGTTTTCCTGGTCCTTCCCCTCGCAATTCACGCCGTGCCTCCTCGCGCCAGGTCCTGGCCGTGCGGCTTCGACCGGCAGGAGGAGCAACACCGCAACACAACAATGATATCACAGGCGAGCAGAGGCGGAAGAGAAGCGGACGGGAAACAAGAATTCGACTGGGCCTTACGTGTAGGATGGCAGTTAAGGAACAATACATGGGGATACATCAGAATATAGTTTCCTGTGACTGGGGAAAATGTCGGGAAAAACGATCATGTAACCTCAATGGCGACGACGCCCACGAGCAGGCCAGGAATCCGATTTGACACAGAGAGCTGCAGCGTAACGCATTCCTCCAGGCATTTCTTCAGCGTAATCCTAGATTAGCCCAGCGCTGAGCCAGAACAGCAGCAGCAACAATTGCGAAAAGGCAGTCACGCATTCATAGCTGGCGCGGGGGGGTACTTCGCGGTTCCCCCCTCTCGGCGTCCAACCGCATGGTGCATGTTAAGGTAGGCTCAGAGCCATGTTGGCCCAAAACAGAGGGTTATCCCAGGGCCGTCCAGCAGCTAGTGTTCAGCCTGGCACGCACTAATTAGTCTAGGTACCTCGCACCGCATCCTGCCAGCCTGGAGTTTGGGAGCTGTGTTTTACCATCGATGAGACGGTCTTGAGCATTCGTGCTACAATGCTATTCGTGGATCCGCCTTCTTCTCAAATGTGCTTTTAGACCCATGTTTCGACATGTACGTTTTGGATCTGGCTTCTTCGCCGATGAAGTCGTTCCTGTTGCCTTTGGGAACTGCCGTCATCACAGATGCGATTGTGCAGGGAATTTTCCGTGCATTTCAATGTAGCTACAGCATCCCGACGTCTCCACAAGCGTGGTGGTCCAGGCTGCTTCTGGGAGCCGTCGCTATCGTAGATACGTCGGCGCTGGGCCTCCTCCTCAGCCTTATCCAACGACGACGAGCCCCCCAGCGCCAACCACAAGCCTCTAGATGGAAGCGATGGGGTCGGAGGATCGTGTCACACCGCCGATGCATCGGCGACGTTGACGCCGCATCGGCGCCGTCGGCGTGAAGAATAATGGGATCCGAATCGAACCGCGTCCTCGATGCAACGGCGAGTCGGCACGATCCTCCGACCCCATCCACCCTGGCCCCAATGTATTCGTGTTGCGCACACAGAGGTGGCGCCCAAAGACAACACCAATTTTGAGTAAACGTTCCGCGGCGCGAGCTCAGGAGTAAACAACTGTCTTAAATCTCCTCGGCGCGTCAACGCGCAACGAACATGTTACGCAAATCGGCACGCAACTGCGAGCGAAAGCTGGCGAGGACGAGGAGAAGGAGGGAAGGAAGAGCAAGGGGGAGGACGACGCGAAGGGGCAAGGGCGCAGTGCGGATAACCCAATATGGCCCACACCGCCACGTATAGAATATACAAAACGCACAGCGCAATCCAGAGAGGAAAAGGAAAGAGAGGGTGAGGATGAGTATGAGGATGAAGATGATGAAGATGATGAAGATGATGATGATGATGATGCTGATGATGATGATGACGATGATGCTGCTGGTGATGATGATGCGGATGACGATGATGATGGTGATGGTGGTGATGATGATGATGTTGATGATGATGGTGATGATGCTGATGAGGAGGAGGAGGAGGAGGCGGAGCAGGAGGAGGAGGAGGCAGAGCAGGAGGAAGAGGAGGAACAGGAGGGGGAGGAGGTGTAGGAGGAGGAGGAGGAGAAGGAACGGATGAGGAGGCGGAGCGGAGGAAGAGGAGGAGGAGGAGGAAGTGGAAGAGAAGGGGGGTAAACGGAAATGACTGAGAAATTCCTGTGTCAGCGCCAGCCGGCTCCCGGGAGTCCGGGCGCCCCACTGACCATCGGCGTGCTCCCAGGGAGGTTCGCACACAGTGGCGGCTCACCAAACAATATTCGACAAAACAACATAGGGACACATACGCAGACGACAGAGGCGGGAAGGGGAGGAGGGGGGAGGGTAGAGAGAACCGAACGCAACCCTTTATGGTTCACGGGTGGGCGACGGGAGCTAACGATGATGCCGCGCGTTCGCTGCAACAGATAGCCTAGAAGCCTTGGCAGGAAACGAAGGAGAAGGGATGAGGAAAGACAAAGACTGCACTGGCCCCTGGCTCAGGGGGAGCATGCGCAATGACTAAACCGGCAATTCAATAGGGGGGAGCGGAAACAAAAGGAACCAAAATCGAGAAGACGGGAGGAGAGATGCCTTGTCACGACCGCGCGCAGACTTTGAAAAAGTGGATGCTGCAGGTGCCGCTGCTGCCGCTTGGCGAAGTGCTCGGCCACGGGGGCGCGGAAGGCCGCCGCGCCGTCTGCCAGTGCCTGCGGTCAAGCGCCCGTGGATGAGGCCTGCGACGCGCTGCGTTGGTGGCCCTGAAGGTCGCTTGCGAACCCAGAGCGCGGAGGGCAAACGTGCGCGGCAGCGCCCCGTCCAGCAATCAAAATTCACCCGACCGCGATGCGGGGGTCCCTGGTCGAGGTACAGGTGCGTGTGGTAGAGCTGCGTCACGACGGTGTGTAGGCGTAGTGTCGGAGGTCGCCATGCCCATGTCGGCAGCCAGAAGCACGGCGACGCTGGCATGGTAGCCACCCAGTAGCGCTCTGAGTGCAGCGGCTGACGCGCAAGGCGGCACCAGTGGTGGTCCAAGGCGGCGAAAGGTAGCTTCGAAACGCTGCACCGGGTGTCCCGGCAGAGTGAACAAGGGAAAACGTTCCAATCTGCGGCGCAGGTGCCAGAAGAGGCGCTGCGTGTCACGGGCGCTGAATACTTCTCCACATCGGCGCTGCCAGCGCTGCTTCGGGGCAGGTGAAGCGCACAGGCCTTGCGGCAACAAATCCACATAGAGGCTCTGGGTCGTCGCCACCGTTGCGAGCCCGCGCTGGTCCTCGAGGGCTGTGCTGATGATGTTGCCGCCGAACCATGAGGCCCAAGTGGAGCGGCGCCACAAGTGGTCCGAGGAAGAGCGGGCATGTTGAAGACGCCGAGCACGACGGCCAATTCGCAGGCCGCCATGTTTGATGTTTTCCCATCGATAGGCATGACATGTCGCCCCCTCCGCCATGGCCCCCGCATTGGGAGCTCAGATGCGAGTCTCAAATTATGGGGGCGCCGCGCGCGGCCCAGCCCTGGTTCTCGGGGAGGAGAGCGGCGAGGAACTGTTGTTCTGTATGCGGCCAGTGCGGGGGTAAGCGGCCCAGCTGGGTCGCAAAACCCGCGAGTGGCACGACGCGCGCGCGGTGCGCTGCCAGCGTCGCGAGCAAGTCCGCGTTGGTCTTGTTCATCGTCCGCGGGCGGTCCTGCATCTTCTTGAATACCTCGCCCCAAAGGGCGCAACCCACGGGTGGGGCCAGCCGACGGCCGAAGTAGGAAGCGTGGCCTGAGATGGTGAACGCGCCCCACCGGGCCGCCGCTGCAGCGACTGCTGCACGCGCCTGCTCGCGCGCGCGCGAGCAGGGAGAGCGGCGCAATGGTGGATTTGCCGCTGCGTAGACGAAGGCCAGAGATGAGGCCGCACTCGTAGAAGATCGGCTCTGACAATCCACACTCTGAGGTGCCCCGGTGGAAAGCAAGGGAAGATGTTGTCAGCGTAAACGTGTAGGGCCACGTCTGGGCAGGGGCGGCGAATCCGTCGCAGCGTCGCGTCCGAAATAATGGCGTGCGAACAGACAGGGAGATGCAACCCCAGCTGCGATGCCATAGCCGGTGCCTGTGAACCCACAGAAGGGGGGTGGCAAACACTGCTGGTGTAGAGGAGGGCCACAAAACGCTTGGACCAACGAGGCCAAACCCGCTCCGCCAGGACTCGCTGGAGGAATTGATCGAGGTTTGGGAGCGCCGCCTCGCAGTCCAGGGGGGCAACCACACAGAGGCATCTTGCATCTCAAATTAGGACGCGATATCATGCTGCTATAACTAAGATATTTGCCATCGTGTGGGCGCTATAGCTTATCGCGATAATAACGCTCGCGCCGACTTCGCGCCAATCCGAAACGACACTCAGGAACAATTGTGGCGATGCGCAACAGCGGTGCATCATGGCACAAACTTTACAGCGCTTATTTGCGAAAGCAATATGGCAGTGGTATCCATGCTGCTTTCAAACATGATGCGTGGTCTAGGTGGCATAATATATATATATATATATATATATATTATATAATATATATATAGATGCTCCACCCGAGGGCCTGACCAGAAGGCGCGAGGGAGAGGCGAGAGAAGAGAAAGATTCAGCAGCCGTCACCAAGGAAAAAGCCCGCCTTTTTACACAGGGCAGGGCGGGACGGGTCACTGTGAGCCAATACGATTAAGGAGGAGGCCAGGGGAGGAGAGGGAACGCATCAAGACATTCACAACCTCCCCACAGGCGGTGGAGACACGAGGCGTCACCACGGGTCAGAAACTGTACTCCGAATCTACAATCGTGCAACTGATGAATAGATGCTCCACCCGAGGGCCTGACCAGAAGGCGCGAGGGAGAGACGAGAGAAGAGGGAAGCCCCGGAGCTCTCGCCGATCTCTTTTACATATCACTCCAGATCTGGCAACTGGTCGCCTCCACGAGGCAATCTCGCTAGAAGAAGGGCTGGCTGAATACAAACACGCCTGCAGCCTCAGAGAGGCTAGACAATTCAAAGGCTCCCGGGAGCTCCGAAGAGTGGACGAGCAGACGATCTGGAAAGATTCAGCAGCCGTCACCCATAACCCATATTATGATTCACGGGTGGGCGGGATGGGCAAAACTCACAGAAAAAGATCGTAAAAAAGTCTCCTCGAATGCTGTGATCAAGCGCTAGTCTGGAAGCGAACTCCTGTGGCGCGAAGCAGCTTTTGTTCGAGGCGATTGGCGGCGCGCTTGAACTGCTGCTGCTGTGCGGGCGAGAGGCGGCTGATCTGCCTCAGGAGTCGACCCTCTTTGCCGTACCTCGCCACGGAGCGGTCGCTGAGCCAGCCCCCGCGCTTTTTCAGCACAGGAAGTGTGGCGAGGCCATTCAAGTAGTCGAGAGAAGGGCCGC